AATGCTGCTGTGTTTCGTATGGTGAGTATAAAGAACCGGAAATCCTTTTTACTGGAACCGAGGAATTCCATCTTAGTTCTCACGGGTGACAACGCATCTGCATTTTGATTCGTAATCGAGGATAGATGTAGATGTCTATGGGCCACAGCAACCATCAGGTGGACTGTGTGCTCGTTTGTCACCCTTATTCTATATAAAAAATTGGTTGACCCTGCAGGCCATCCCTGGAATTCTTCCCGCTAATTTCAAATGCAAAGCGCTCCAAATTTTACCAAATTATGTTGCGAAATCTCTAAGTTATGTTAAACAACGTTTTTTTAAAATTCTTTCTCCTATGATATCTCACGAGCTAATGAACCGATTTTTATTTTCCAAACGGCATTCGACGTCATTTTTTGAGGTTTAGTGCTGATTAGTTTTTCAAATCGATTGGTAAAGCCGTTTAAGATATGTTATTCCAAAAAAATAGTTTTTCAAAATTTTTATTTTTGAGATTTCTCAAAATCTTTTCGTCCGAATCAGTTCATAAAAGTATAAAAAGTAAAGTTATAGCCTATATACCGTCCCACTGCTGGGCACAGGCCTCCCCTCATTTCTGAGAAGGTTTAAGGGCAAGGAAGTGTACGCCGCGCTGCCCCATTGCGTGTTGGCGAACTTCAGATGTCTTCGAAATATATTTTTCTTATTCCTCAGACATGCAGGTTTAGTCAGAATAGCTTCCTGGGATTTCAAAACGTCAATGATCTGATGAAAACTTTAAGGACTCTAAGGTAAACATCTAAGGTCGTCTAAGGTCCACACCTTAGACGACCTTAGACGCTGCTCCTCGCGCTGATCTAGATATTTTCTATAGACATCTACATCTATCCTCGATTTCGAATTAAAATGAAGATAAGTTCTCACATCTGAGGACTAAGATTGTAGTCCTCGTATCCAGTGAAAATGGTCCCCGATTCTCTACACTCATCAAACGAAATACGAAAGCTCTATTCTGCTTTCTTACGCTGGTATTCTAAACTACAACCTACTTGATTGCTCTGGCTACATTTATTATAAAAGGTAACGCCCCAGCTTGGTTCTTGATTAAGAATAAATCGTCATGTAAAAATGGAGCTCGTCATCTATTTGAAATTATATTAGCCTCCAGGTATCTGCCAGCACTTTGCACATTCTAAGAATTTATAACTTGCAATGATTACAGATGGTTCTTCTAAGAAGACGATGATTCGAAGATGCTTAATATTAATTTAAGCGCAAAACCTACATGGGTGTGATAAATTGGCAACAAACTATTTCTGAACCGCCGATCTTGAAACGCTTAAGTGACCAAGAAATTCAGCAAATAGTCCAATGGGGTGGTGAAGGTTAACATTTGTTTCTACGTCTCCCATGGCTGTTGAGCGAGCTGTGAAGTTAACTATAGAAGCGGCTATTTCACTATTTGAGGATTCATCACAATTAGGAGCCATAAAATCCATATTAGAATCCCGTAAGAAAATGCCAAAATTTGAAACGAAGAGAGATTTTAAGGCAAATTGACGATTTGCTTTTTAAAACGTATGATTAAATTTTGTTTCACTTTTTTTATTAAATTACATTACAAGTACTGTAATTATATCATTGAGTTTAATTTATAATCTTTAGTTAACTCTTATATATTATTTATCTTACCCCAAACATACTAAAAATTTTCAGTAAAACATATTGAGGCCCCAGTGAAGGCAGAATATGTTATTCGATTGATCTGAAAAAAAAACCGTTAATTAACTTTAAACATATGGCACTAATCCCGCGCTATTATAATTTAAAATGTGAAAAAAGTTGAAAGTGAAATACATCTTTTAATGTATGATCAAAAATTTTATAATGTACGGTCGAATTTGGAACTCCTGTCGATCCTGTCGATCACTAGTATTAAGTATATTAAAATTTGAAACACTTCTTAGACTTGTGCATGCGTTTTGTAACGCTAAATAGATTGTTAAATCGCTCTCAAATAGCACAAACAAAGAGGGCATTGCCTCGTTTATTTGACATAATATACGAGTTTTCCTAAACTCGAATCGCTAACATTGCAATGCTCATATTACGCGCGTGCGCACTCTACCGCTAATTAATAAGAAAAGCGCGTCACGGAGGAAAGAGCGGCGCGCGCGCGTTTTTACAACTACATGCCCGTTCGGAAGCAACACGAACGGGTGTTTTTTTTCGCATCGCATTAGTTTTAATACAGAGAGCAACGGCCGCGGGAATTGTTAATTGATCATTAATCTATTGTAGTAGCATTGCTTTTATTTTGTGATTGCGTGGTTGTGACAGGCCTGTCTGATTCATAACGCACCGGAACTATACGGCGACTAAGAAGGACAGTGTCAACGATCTTCAACTGTTCATCAACAACCGCTCAACTCGTAACTGTGATTCACAACATATTTAATGAGTATTAAATATGTTTTGTTTTGTAAAATAACTCATCAGCTTCGATTTCGCACGGGTAGTTTCTGGATTTCAACAACAGCGCCATCTATCGGGTCCAAATGTGAACCTAAACCATTATCAAATCAATTTATTAATCACACACCACACACATACACACGCACACACACACACACACACACACACACACACACACACACACACACACACACACACACAATTTAGTAAAAATCGGTCTAGCAGTTTTTTTTTTATAGAAAAGGGGGCAAAGGAGCATGCGGCTCACCCGATGTTAAGTGACTACCGCCGCCCATGAACAACCGCAACACCAGGGGAATTGCAGGTGCATTGCAAAAAGTTGCCGGCCTTTTAGAAAGGAGTAAGCCCTTTTCTTAAAGGTCCCAATGTCGTATCGGTCCGGAAAAGTCGCCGGTGGTACATTTCCACAGAGAAGTTGAACGAGGAAGAAAAGCCCTATTAAAACGCACAGTGGTGGACCGCCAAGCACCTCACCATATGGAGGTGAGGTTGGTATCGGGAATTTAGACGCGAAGTGCGTTCGTGAAATTTGGCGGCTGGAACTAATCCGAACAATTCCACAGAACACTCCCCATTCTAGATACGATAGAAAACGCAAAGGGATGCAATATCTCTACGCAGCGTCAGTGAATCGAGCCGATCGAGTTTAAAGGAGTGCGGTCACATACACAAAAACAGAAGAATTATATTTATAAAGATAACTAATTTTTTTTTAATTTTGCACATTTAAAAAAGAACATTCATGTCGTAAATCCTTAGAATATTTTTTCTACATAAATCAATCGTATAACTTACTAAAAATTATCAATCGTATAACGTACTTTATTGCCAGCAGCAATAATTACGTTCACAGCACAGAGTACATTATAGCTCACAGCAAAAGCATTGGTGTGTTGTATGTAGGGTATGCTACATAGGGTTGTCACCTTTTTTTTTGAACAAATATAGTATTTTTCCCAAAAAAAGATGCAAATATATAGTACCTAGCTTTGAGAAATTTTAAAGCAAAAAAGTACATGGTTATTTTTAATCTTTTTGTATTTTTCCATATACATTTGTTATTGCTCTTTGCTTTGGCCATCAATGATCTAACCATCTTACCATCTAACTTACCATTAAAATTATTATAGGAGTCTGAGCAATTTAAACTCATATTAAAATAAATTAATAATTAATTTTAAACTAAATTAATACATGCTCTTTTTCTTCCTTCTTTCAATTTTAAATTCATGACGGAAAAAATTATTTTCGTACAACTTCCTTGTTCACACTTCCAATCTAAGTTAATATAAAAAAGCGCGATAGCGGAATTAGGCATAAATATTAAATATAGTATTTTATATTTATTGTTTTTCTATAATATATAGTAGGTACAATGACTGAAATATATTACGATACTATATGTATTTTGGTACGAGTGGCAACCCTAATGCCACCCCTAGAAATTAATGTATCCAGCGAGTACGACTTTCAATAGCTGAACAATTTTGTTGGTCAGAGTAGGGGGAACATGGCCTGGACGGCAGAGTGTGGGGATTGTACAATTAACCGACTGCCTCGTTGATCGACACAATCGGGACAAAATCAGTTATTGAGCTTTCTGTCAAGAAATTCTCAGTAACAGCCCGGAGTCAGGAAGCTGGTGGTGTTTCAACCCTGAGCCTTGGAACATACGTATGTAAAGCTGTTGTCCTGTGCCTGATCTCTCCTCGGTCCTGTCGTGTTGCTATCCCATCGGACTATGAGATTGAGGGAATGGAGAAAAGCTCGCACGCACATTCATGCACTATAATCCTATCCTGCGCGACTGTTTCAGAGACTGGCTGCCAAAACCGGAATTCGGTGTGGAGGACTTTACGATATTATTATCATCATCATTGCCATTGTAATTAATACCATTATTTAAGTGAAAGTTTTTTGAATAACTAATCGTTAAAAAGCGCTTTAATAGTCTTTACTGTATTTCTGTGAAATAATAATAGAGTCCGCTTTGTAGCGGCGGTAAATATCATCCCATTTAGTCCCATGGGTGTTGCAAGAGACGACTATGTTAACGGCCAGAAAAACGTGACGATTTCCGATAGATGATTACAGTCCATCTCGTTTACGGCAGATGTATAATATATAGATCGAAGACGAGCAATGGTCTCCAAGGTGCGAGAAGTCTAGAACTGCGATGATTAATACGTCTACCAAGAGTGATGATTAAGGTAAGTCCTCCCTATAACGATAGACGCTTGGGATGATTAAAAGATTAATAGAGTCAAAATGAATAGAGTTGTCCACCTTATGGTAACCTGTAGCTCATTGCCACTTATAAACGTACAGAGCAAGAAATCGCTACATTGGGTTATCCCAGTTACAAACGTACAGATCAAGAAATCGCTACATTGGGTTATCCCACTTACAAACGTACAGAGCAATAAATCGCTACATTGGGTTATCCCAATTACAAACGTTCAGATCAAGAAATCGCTACATTGGGTTATCCCACTTACAAACGTACAGAGCAATAAATCGCTACATTGGTTTGTCCCAGTTACAAACGTAAAGAGCAAGAAATCGCTACATTGGGTTATCCCACTTACAAACGTACAGAGCAAGAAATCGCTACATTGGGTTGTCCCACTTACAAACGTACAGAGCAAGAAATCGCTACATTGGGTTATCCCACTTACAAACGTACAGAGCAAGAAATCGCTACATTGGGTTATCCCACTTACAAACGTACAGAGAAAGAAATCGCTACATTGGGTTATCCCACTTACAAACGTACAGAGCAAGAAATCGCTACATTGGGTTATCCCACTTACAAACGTACAGAGCAAGAAATCGCTACATTGGGTTATCCCACTTACAAACGTACAGAGGAAGAAATCGCTACATTGGGTTATCCCACTTACAAACGTACAGAGATAGAAATCGCTACATTGGGTTATTCCAGTTACAAACGTACAGAGCAAGAAATCGCTACATTGGGTTATCCCACTTACAAACGTACAGAGTAAGAAATCGCTACATTGGGTTATCCCACTTACAAACGTACAGAGCAAGAAATCGCTACATAGGGTTATTCCGTTTATCCACCCTAAAGAATCCACCCTAAGGTGGATACTCGAAAACGCGTGTTCATCTATCCACCCCAGACGGTATCTATCGTAATTCACTTTTATTTGTTCCTCCGACGGTTTACCTCAAGTACAGTTCAACACATAAACTGCACTGTAATTATTAATGAATTTTTAATAACCACAAACCTTATCAAAAACCTAAATACGTATTGCCGATACTGTTACCGTTGCAACCGAATAAAGTCCACGCATTACGTATTGCATTGAAATCAAATTAAACTTCCTCGTTTTGAATTATATTATTGCGTAATTTAGAAATTCTGCAATATATCCAGGCAATTACCAACACTAACTTCATTATTGAGTAGACGTAATTTGATATCCTGGATAAATACGTCACTTTTAATGTACGTTTGCAATCGTTTTTTTTTTAAATTTATTTGCTACCAGGGATGTATTACCGAAGAATTGGGCGTTTTTGCAAGCATTCCAAAAACGTTACGATTGGAAGTTTGTCTTTAAATTTATTTTAAATTATTTTATGCCAAGATTTCAATGAATCTGTAATCATGTGACGTACTCCTTTTATTTCAGCGTTGACCATTCACACAAGAAGTATTATATATATATAGGTCGGCTTGTGTTAAGTGGATGCTGTCTACAAAAATTATTATAGGATATATAATAATTTTTGTAGTATCTTTAGTCAGTTTTCATCATGTTTCTATAAATGACTGTACACTTTGTTTGATACAATGCGGGATGACAATTTCGCAACATTTATTCAGAAATATATTTATAAAAAATAAATGCAAAGATTACAAATATTTTTACCTTACATTTCAAACTCCCAGAACTAACAAAACCCAACTCTTTTTCCTGAAGTCTGCAAGTATTGAAATTTGTAGCAACATTTAAAAATTATACCAAATTTTGTCCCACGTTGGTCTTGGAATTATAGATCCCATATTTATGTAGAACTTATAATAAAAATAATAGCTCTGGGGGCTTAGCGAATTAGTTAATTACACAGTACGCGAGCTACCTGAGTTCGAAACCTGTCGACACCAAGGAAATTGTTACAAATTGCAATTTTAAGTACTAATTTATCACGTGCTCGGCGGTGAAGGAAGACATCGTAAGGAAACGTGAGAAAAAATTTTTAGAAGACATGTGAAGTCAGCCAACACGCATTGGGGCAGCATGGCGGACACTTCCTAACCCTAAAACCCTCTCAGAAGTGAGAGGAGGCCTGCACCCTGTAGTGGGACGTATATAGGCTGGAACATTACCTAACTTTTATAACAAACAACAATTTGCCAACTGCGATACTTGCCCATTAGTCGCTTGTTACGAAATGCTATCGTGTTGTAAAAGGAAACTAATGGAAAACCGAGTTCTTTCATAACTTTCCATATAAACCCATGTTTATTCGCTAATCATGATCCGAGGAGGACGCTGCTCTTTGAACTCTGCCTATCCGAATTTCGCGGCATTCAATGTTTTCAATAATTCAACGATTGTTTTCTTGTTCATTGAAAGCAAATTTCAAACAACATACAACAAATAGCTAACATCTCACTGCCAGTAGAGGGCTCCCAGTGCCAAGCAGTCTCTGGACTAGGTATTCGTATTTCGTACCTAAGTATAATTACTCTATGTATCTAAGTAGGTATAAGAAATAAATAACAAAGTAAATCCTTCAAATTATCAAAATCATTTTATTTGACTACGATTCCCGCGGCGACCTTGCTTACACTTGTGTGCGTGACCCGTGTCAATGTAATAGTTCGATTCTATACCTATCAATTTTGTAAAAGACAAGGAGATCGCAGAACTATTACGTTGCTCATGCTAATTTTTATATAGAACACTAAGTTAGTTCTATGAGTGCTCATGCTAATTTTTATATAGAACACTAAGTTCTATGAAAAGAAAATTACTATTTTTATAAGTGACGTAAATCCTCCCCTTTAATTATATAAAAGTCAAACGTAAAGTTACAGTCTATGCACGTCCCACGACTAGACCCACAACATAGCTTACATTTCTGAGAATTTTAGGGCTAGGAAATATTCACCGGTCAGCACCAACGAGTGTTCGTATCATGTCTCCATGCTACATGCAGCTTTGCTAACAATGACTTAGTTCACCGCCGAGCACGTGGCAAATCAGCACTTAAATTGTAATTAACAATTTGATTGGTGCCAACAGGGAACGAACCCGGGTAGTTCGCATAGTATGAAATTTACAGCGACCGCTTGTCCGTAAGCTAATCACGGCTCTACGACACTACATCCGAACTGTCCTTTTTCTATACAGTTTTTGATATTATTTTCCCTCACTGTATCCAAGGCATCTAGCCTTAGCGTAGTTAGCAACATAAGTCAGTTATGAAGAACTAATACCGTACCAGACGAGTGCCGTCGCCCTTTTGACTTTGCGAAATGCCCTGTCCTCTATATATCTTGTTTACTGTCTCATACACTAAGCTTAGTTTTGTTTTAACCTCTTGCGAAAATACAACTAAAACAAACATACTCTCTGTATTACTTTCTTTTATTTGTTTATTGAATATTTTATGGCCAATTTGCGAGCCGCCCTTGAAGGCTGTGTGAAATAAAAGGTCAATAGGCATAGGCCCGTTGCTATGTCACAGAGTACTTTTGTATGTTACGTCTACGTCAAAAGTCGTTGTTACACACTCAGTTGATAATGCGAAGTACTTATCTCAATTATTATAATAAAACTTTACTGAGTTATAATTAGCATTATATGCTAATGAATTGCAAGTTGATTTACACATGTTTTTCTATATATGCAAATTGTAATTGTATTACCTTTTATACAAAGTGAGTTTTGCATAATTTAATGACTGCAAACTGTAAATCTACTTGCAACCCTGCCTGATCTTCAAAGGCCCGGAAAATTGCAATCGTCCCTTCGCAATTTTATAGAATATACCTAATAAAGTATGGAGCCTACTTTGAATTAAAATAAAACCTGCATGGTTCAAGATTCGTAATTAAAATTTTTTACAAAAAAAAAATGCCGTGGTAGCTCAGATGGTTAACGCTCGCTGTAAATATCACAATACGCGAGTAACACAGTTTCGATCCCGCCAGCACCAATGAAATTGTTGATTGCAATTTTAAGTACTGATTTACCACGTGCACGGCGGTAAAAGAAAATGTCGTGAAGAAACCTGCATGTCTAAGGAATAAGAAAAAAAAAATATTTCGAAGAAATGTGAAGTTCGCCAACACGCATTCGAGCAGCATGGCGGACACTTCCATGAATGAGATATTATAATCTAAAATAAAATATATCATAAAACCCTCCCAGAAATGAGAGGAGGTCAGTGCGGGCAGTGGGACGTATATAAGTTGCAACTTTACCTTACACAAAAACTATAACATTCTAAATTCAATATTTTTACATTAAGTTTTTCGAGTTAAACATGGAGGATTTTAAATTATTTTTACATTAAGTTTTTCGAGTTAAACATGGAGGCCTTATAAATGAGACTAATTTGGGTACATGAGTTTCGACGTAGTTCTAACATAGCATACTCAGTTGGCAATATCAATGTTGCGTTAGCAGAGGATATGACGAACGAACGCGCTCTGCTTTTATTGCGGAACGATTTCTAATATGAAAAGAACTTTAGACAATGATGGAAAAACTCTTACCTATTTCTGTGGCAATCAAGCAGTGCGTGTTTTTTCATAGGATAGAGCGACAAAATGGCACGCAGTCCACCTGATGGTAAGTGGTTGCTGTGGCCCATAGACATCTACATCTATCTTCGATTACAAATCAAAATGCAGATGCGTTGTCACCCGTGAGGACCAAGATGGAATGCCTCGTTTCCAGTAAAAAGGGTCTTCGGTTCTCTATACTCATCATACGAAACACAGCAGCTTTAAGCTACTATTTTACTGAGGTATTCTGTGAGAGCGTGGTTCTTCCTCCGACCCATTCGTGCTATAACTATACTACTAATATATAACTGCAGCATCGCTGTACCACGTATAATGTACTGCTGTATTTCTATCTGAAGGGTATAGATAGCCAGTATAATTAAAGGGTGTGAAGCGTGATGTAATGCTAATCATCAGAGGTGACCACGTATCTTTAGCTTTCTTTATTTGATTTCCTTTATTGGTTGCAGGTATCCATGTGCAGTACCCACTAAACATCAAGTGGACTGTAAGTTTGTATATCACTACAATTTTATTTAAAAAAAAAACTCACAGAGATACAATCCCGACTCGTCAATTGATTTTAGCCGTCATTAATCTATCGCAAGACCTCACTGTGCTCGAGCGTCCGTCTTAACATTTCAAGGCCTGCTGTCTCGTTACCTGAAAAGCCACACATAGTCCTCCGCACTCGCCAGACCTAACCTTGAGGTTAGGTTTGTCCAAAGAGGTAATGGTTGAGCATTACCTCTTTGGACAATTTCTTGCAGGTAAAACAATTTTCTTCCCATGAAGCGATACAAAATCATCATAGACTTGTAGTGTCCATATCTCTACAGTTCTATTGCGTATTAGATATGCATAAATAATCTCCCTTCGAGATGGCAGAAATTTATAGGAAATGAGAATAATGTCTTTGATAAAATATATTATTAGAAATAAAGGTGTTTTAATTTTATAGAAAAATTGTATATTCTTATTTAGCTATTATCATTTGTGCAAACGTATAAGTTCTACTAGGGATATTGTACAAATTAATAAAAATAGTAATAGATATATTTCTTGAAAATAAATACGAGAGATCTTGGAGGATTTGTAATAAATAATTATAAAGATTTTTTTTTCTCTATGGTCTGCATTTGTATTTATGCCATTACGAACATATAGAGGGTTTATAAAGCATATTAAAGAAATTACTGGAGATACTTGGGCATCGTATCGTAACGCACGCGA